TCTCTGGGATGCACACACACACATACACAAATAAAAATAATACAAACATCTTTAGAAAGTAGTTTGTGGTGCATTAACATGAGGTATTATAATCATTGCTTTTATCACTAAGACTTGTGGTTCTTAGCCTTATGCCTCAGTTGCCCCTAGACAGAAAGGACCAGCAGAAAAAAAGAGATCCGAGCAGTGCTCAGTCCTTTCTGTATCGAGGGGGATGCTCCCTGCACTCAGGCCTGCTGTTTTCATCCGTCCTAGGGCCATGCCACTTCATTTTTTGGTCCAGCCTTGGAGCGGTACTCATCCTTTCAGGTCAACGGCAGTGATGACATTCGGCAAATCCAGAGCCTGGAAAACGGCATCCTTTTCCTCACCAAGAACAACCTCAAGTACATGGCCCGAGGGGGGCTCATTATATTTGACTATTTGTAAGTGACCTTTCAGCTGGGCTGGGAGAGGGGAGACTCTAGGAAGATAGGATTGGCAGCTGGAGAGCCCAGCCTCTTGGCCCTTCTCCCACAGGCTGGATGAGTGTGAGGATATGCACAGTCTCCTGCTGACTGACAGCAGCACCCTGCTCATTGGTGGGCTGCAGAGCCACATACTGGAGATCGACCTGAACACTGTCCAGGAGACTCAAAAGGTCCCAACCCGGGTTGAGCCCAGGAAAAACCCATGTGGGACCTGAGGTCATGGCGAGGGTGTGCTTGGGCTGGAAATGTGTTGGTGTGACTTCTCTGTTCCTTAGCCTGTGGGGAGAATCATCTCACTGGTGTTCTTGCTTCTCTCTCTCCAGTATGCAGTGGAGACACCCGGAGTCGCCATCATGAGGCAGACAAACCGATTCTTCTTCTGTGGCCACACATCTGGCAAGGTAACTGGACTCCATGTCTCCTCCACCATGGGCCCTGCTTCACTAGATACTGGGGTCTGCTCTCCCTAGTTGGATTCAAGATGAGGGATGTGAGGGATGGCATTACTTCCTGCATGAGATGATCTTGAATTCTGACATTTTCTACAGCTCGAGATGCCTTGGGGGCAAAAGGATAAAGGAATTCTTTGGGGCATCCCTTCTGTCTCTTGGCCCTTCTCTCTGCCTTTCTTTGCTCCGTCAGTATCCTAGAACCTTTGTCCTCTCTGGCAGGGCTCTCACAGGATTAATTAGGTGGTAAGGTCTCCTCCCTGTCACAGAGGTGGCAGGTAACAATTTTTCTCTTCTTCAGGTTTCCCTGCGAGACCTCCGTAGTTTTAAAGTGGAGCATGAATTTGATGCCTTCTCAGGGAGTCTGTCAGATTTTGATGTTCATGGTAACCTGCTGGCTGCCTGTGGCTTCTCTAGCCGCCTCACTGGCCTGGCCTGTGACCGTTTCCTCAAGGTGTATGACTTACGCATGATGCGTGCCATCACGCCACTTCAAGTACACGTGGATCCTGCCTTTTTGCGTTTCATCCCCACATACACTTCCCGTCTTGCTATCATCTCCCAGTCGGGTAGGAAGAGGGTCGGTACTGGGTAGGGTGGGTCAGTGAGCTGAGTAGCTCAGTAGGAGTGACCCCAGATACCTTTTTGCTGGGGTTAGACATGGCCATCCACCAGACTCCCAGGGTTTCACTTAGGTTCAGTTTAGGCGAATTCAAACCATGCCTGGGCTACAGAATGAATCGAAGGCCTTCCTGGGTAGCACAGTGATACCCTATCTTGAAAAAGAAAAATGCGGCAGGCTGGGGCTGTAGCTGACTGACAGAATGGTTGCCCACAAGGCGCTAGGCCCTGGCATCAGTCTCCTGTACCACAAACACGTAAATAAAAACAAAGACGGAGACTGAGAATGTTGACTGCTCTGGTAGAGGGTCAGAGTTGAGTTCCCAGCACTTCCAGCAGGAGGTTTCAGTGGGTCTGACGCCCTCTTCTTCAGGCACCTGCACTCTGGTCTGTCCTACACACAGACACAATAAACACGTAGTTAAAAAATGTCTTAGCTAGGCCTGATGGCGCACGCCTTTCATCCCAGCACACAGGAGGCACAGGCAGGTGGATCTCTGAGTTTGAGGCCAGCCTGGGCTACAGAGTGAGATCCAGGACAGCCAGGGCTACACAGAGAAACCCTGTCTTAGAGGAAAAAAAAATTCTTAAAAAACTAAAGTAAATAACATAAGAATTGCCCTTTGCTAGGTAGTAAAGCGTCTGTGATTTGTGAGAACTTGAGAAGGCATTCTCTTTGTCTCCAGGCATGGATTGCTGTGTCTAGCTCACCTGATACTAGGAGAGGGTAAAAGGGTATAAAAGGGTCCCCACCCACTTCACTTCCATGGCTCACTGGTCCGTTTCCTTTTCCTTTCTAGGTCAGTGCCAGTTTTGTGAACCCACAGGCCTGGCCAACCCAGCCGACATCTTCCATGTGAATCCCGTGGGACCCCTGCTGATGACGTTTGATGTGTCAGCCAGCAAGCAGGCCCTGGCCTTTGGGGACTCTGAGGGCTGTGTGCACCTCTGGACAGACTCCCCAGAGCCCACCTTCAACCCCTACTCCCGAGAGACTGAGTTTGCCCTGCCCTGTCTTGTGGACTCACTGCCGCCTCTGGACTGGAGCCAGGACCTGCTGCCCCTCTCCCTTATTCCCGTCCCTCTCACCACTGACACGCTGCTCTCCGACTGGCCCGCTGCCAACTCCGCTCCCGCCCCCAGGTTGTACCTCACTGCTGGGTCGAGGGGAGGGGGGCGCCCAAGCTACCAGAAGCTTCTGTTAGCCTGGTTATTCTTCCCTGCTGTGGTGATTGTTGTCCACCTGAAATGCTTTCCCCTTCTGAACCCGTGGGCTGGGAATGCATGGGGGCTGTCGTGAGTTCAAGTCCCGGAACTGCCCTGGGTTACAGGCGAGCACCACCCGTGGACGCGGAGATCCTTCGAACCATGAAGAAGGTGGGCTTCATTGGCTACGCACCTAACCCTCGCACCAGGCTGCGCAATCAGGTGTGTGCAGAGGGCCTGCTGTGTCCCCGCAGCTTACACCAGTCTTTGTTTTTAGATAGTGAAGGTTTGGGCTGTGTGCGGAACTCAAGGAGCTGTGCTTGTTGAGTTATGTCTGAGACAGGGATGGTCCGGTGTTGTCCCTTAGGAAGGTTATTTGGTTGAAGGTAAGACATTATTTGTATCTTGTTGTTAAATGCCAAAAGCATGTCATAAGCATCCTGTGCCAGAGCCTCTCAGAGGGAAGCTGCTATCAGGCTGGAGCAGTTAAGAGCAGCATAGTGAAATATTGGGTATGGAGGATGAAGAAATGTTGAAGACAGCAAAACTGTTACAGACGCTCAGGAACATTTATAAATGGTGGTGTTTTAACATTACAACATGTATGCCAATTTTATAAACTCTAAAATTAATTTTTAAAAATTTGTTATTGTATGTGTATGGGTGTGTGTGTGAGTGTGTGTGTGTGTGTGTGTGTGAGAAGAGTGTAGGCATGCATGTGTCACAAGCACACGGGGAGACTTATGAATTGGTTCTCCATCCACCGTGAGATCTGGGGATTGAACTGGGGTCATCAGGTTTACTCTGCCCCGGTTTTATAATCTTTTACCTGAAGATGTGTTACTTTTCTAAGGCAACCCAAAGGTGTATCTCAGTGTTCTCTCTGTTGGCAGAACGTTAGTGGAAGAGCTTCATATGTTGTAGTAGATGAAAGCAAACCAGGTGGCAGACTTGTTGGTTTTTTAAATCATAAACCACATACAAATTAAACTTAATTGCATTTTGTTAATCAATGTGAATATATTTCTGTAACCATAGTTACGTTGAAAAATCGAAAGAAAAAAAAGGAATTAAGTGGGCACCAGGTGAGGTGGCACCAGGTGAGGTGGCATGCACCCTGGGTGGCTGGACATATCAAGGGTTTATTTGGCTACATACTGAATTTGAGGCCAGCCTTAGCTACATGAGACCCTGTCTCAAAATAAATGAGTAAATAAAAACAGATACGGTGGTACATGCCTTTAATTCCAGCACTTAGGCAGAGGCAGGAGTTCTAAGCTAGCCTGATCTATATACTGAATTCCAGGCCAGCCAGGGCTACATAGTGAGACCCTGTCTCAAAACAAACAGAAGACAGCAACAGAAAGGAAAAAGGAAAGGGGAAGCCAAAGCTGCTTAAGACATCCAACAGTGTTCTTCTTTTTCAAAAAACAAACCTAGATTCCCTATCGACTGAAGGAGTCGGACAGTGAATTTGACAACTTCAGCCAAGTCACGGAGTCACCAATAGGACGAGAAGAAGAGCCACATCTCCACATGGTTTCTAAGAAGTACCGAAAGGTGCTGGGGGACACTGAGTCAGGGTCTTGTGGGATGTGTGGGGGAAGGGAACCCTATGGAAAACAACTGAGTCTCATCAAGGAGCCTTCCTCCACAACTCGAGACCCGGGGGAGGCTCTAGAAAAGGATCTCCCTCATTCTGCTCAAACTGTTCTGCCTTAGGTAACCATCAAATACTCCAAGCTAGGGCTGGAAGACTTTGACTTCAAACACTACAATAAGACACTGTTTGCTGGATTAGAGCCCCACATCCCCAACGCCTACTGTAACTGCATGATCCAGGTAAGGCTGGGCCCTCCTGAGCTTGACCATGCTTCTGCCTCTCCACTCCCACTGCGCCTTGGTCCTGCTCTGCTCTGTCTCGGCTCCTCAGTCAAGCCACTCTACCTTGGCCTCATCTGTGTGCCCTGCACCTTCACGTCTCCTCTGTTAGCTCCATTGCTTCAGAGGAGTCATGCTTTATTCCAGTGGCTCACAGAACACCCATCCTTCCCTCCCCTAGCTCCCCACACCAGCTCTCCTGCTCTTCCCTCCAGGTGCTCTATTTCTTGGAGCCTGTTCGCTGTCTAATCCAGAACCACCTTTGCCAGAAGGAGTTCTGCCTGGCATGTGAGCTTGGCTTCCTCTTCCATATGCTGGACCTCTCCCGAGGTGATCCTTGTCAGGTCAGTCCTTCGAGACCCTGGAAACTTAAAGGGCAAGGGACAGAAGACGGATAGTTGAAAAGGCCATTGCTGTGCAAACAACATGAAAGAGAAAATCACCCTCTTCCAGGGCAGTAATTTCCTTCGAGCATTCCGTACTATTCCTGAGGCCTCAGCACTGGGCCTCATCCTGGCCGATTCAGATGAGGCTTCAGGCAAGGGCAGTCTGGCCAGGCTCATCCAGAGGTGGAATCGCTTCATTCTAACTCAGCTGCATCAGGATATGCAGGAGCCGGAAGTACCCCAGGCTTATCGAGCTGTTGGAGGCAGGTACGGAGCCCGACAGGAATAAAGCCACCACGGCGGTCCCTCTGGGTCTGGAGGGTCTTCTGACACTCGGGGTACATATGCTGTCCTCCACCGCCAGCAGTTTCTGCTCGTCGGGGGCCTCCGTCATCGGGCAGCTCTTCAGCTGTGAGATGGAGAACTGCAGCCTCTGCCGCTGTGGCAGTGAGACCGTGCGAGCCTCGTCCACTCTGCTCTTCACGCTCTCCTACCCTGAGGGTAGCGTCTGTGGTAGACCTGCGCTGGGTTGGGAAGGCTCCTCACGTAACCTCGTAACACCCCAGGGAGTGTGGGGGCCTGTGGGAGGCCGTGGGTAGAGGGGGAGCTCGGAGTGAAGTGTCCAGTTTCTCCTCAGATAAAACCGGGAAGAACTATGACTTCGCTCAGGTGCTGAAGCGAAGCATCTGCCTGGAGCAGAACACACAGGCCTGGTGTGACAACTGTGAGAAATACCAGCCCACAGTGAGTGCCCGAGGGTGGCGGCAGCATTGCCTTCCCGGGGCTGCAGGAGTGGGAAGACTCCAGTTTTACCGACCCTGTCTGGGTTTCTTTCCTTGTACACCCTGTAATTTCTTATTTCTTTCTCTCAGATTCAGACCCGCAATATCCGACATCTGCCAGATATTCTTGTCATTAATTGTGAAGTGAATAGCTCAAAAGAGGCTGATTTCTGGAGATTACAAGCTGAGGTAATGATTGGAAACAGGCCTCAAACTCAGAGACCAGCCTGCCTCTGCCCCCTGAGTGCTGGGATTAAAGGCGTGCGCCACCACTACCACCCAGCTGGAAGCAGGACTTTCTTTTATTTTTATTCCTTGTTTTACTTCTACATATGATTATATTCTTAGGAATTTTGATTTTTTTTCCCTATATGTTCAGGTTGCCTTCAAAATAGCGGTAAAGAAATTTGGTGGGGAAATTAAGAACAAGGAGTTTACTTTGGCTGACAGGTAGGTACCATCTTAGAGTTGTCAAGTGATGGAACTACTTGGTGATTCCTGTCACTGGCTAGACATCTTGAGAGCACTTTTCTAATTCTTCCGTCTAACAGGAAGGAACCAAGGAGTCCAGAGGGCTCGCTGTGCCCCTCCATGGAGGAGCTGAAGAATGTCTGGCTTCCGTTTTCCCTCCGCATGATGATGACCAAGAGCAGAGGGCTGGACGTTTGCAGTTGGACTGATGAGGATGAGATGCAGGTTGTTGAAAAAACGGGAAGAGGAGGGAGTGAGGGGTGAAGGCAGGGTCGAAGGTGAGGCGGGCAGGGCAAGGGGGCCGTGCAAAGGATGAAAGGTTATCACCAGTTGTGGGGTCTCCAGAAGAGCTCAGCCTAGGGGTGGGCAGTCACAGATGGGCTAAGATGCAGGTAACCTACCCTGGCTCCCCATTCCCAGGACTCCCTGCCCTCTGCCCTTTCTCCTCATCCCCCATCCCAAACCCCAGTCCTTAAACTTAGCTTAGCAGCCTGGGTACCCCCTCACAGTGGGGTCCGGCCAGGGCAGAGGAGGAGCATGGTGTCTATGTGTATGACCTGATGGCCACTGTGGTACACATCCTGGACTCACGAACAGGAGGCAGCTTGGTGGCTCACATCAAAGTTGGCGAGACCTACCACCAGCGCAAGGAGGTGAGTCAGGTGGGCCGAGGGAAGAGCATTCCTGGGGAGAGGGCTGAGTGCAGTCCCAGATCTGTCCCTAGCAAGTAGACCAGCTATCCCTTTGACATCAGCCTGCCTCTTTATCTGCACAGGGCGTAACTCACCAGCAGTGGTATCTTTTCAATGACTTCCTTATTGAACCTATTGATAAGGTAAATCAAAACATTTCTGTTGCCCCTTTCATTCTTTTGGGGAGAGGGTGCTGCTGCGTGAGTCAGGTTGTTCTCCAGTTCACCATGTTTCTGCTGTGGCCTCTAGAGTACAGGGATTACAGGTGTGACTACAGCTCCGCCCCCTTTTATCTACCTGTCTTTGTTAGTGTCCTTAGCCTCAGGTCCCTAATGAGTGCCTGGAAGGTTCATGATGGAAGGAGAGAGGCTTTGGGAAAGAATGGCATCAGAAGAGTTAGCACCTGGGTGCTGGCCTCTGTCTGACTTGGGGAAAAGGAATGAGATACACCGTTAGGATAGGACACAAGTGTTTTTTCCTTTTTAGCGTGTGAGGCAGTGCTGGGGGTTAAACCAAGAGACTTGTGCAGGGTAGCGAACACGACACGGAGATGCCCTCCAGCCTGTGTTCTCCTCCTCTAGTACGAAGCTGTGCAGTTCGACATGAACTGGAAAGTACCGGCTATCCTGTATTACGTCAAAAGGAACCTCAATTCCAGATACAACCTCAACAGTAAGTGATGTGGGCAGCCAAAGGCTTAGGCAGTTTAAGTTGGACTTCAGGAGAAAACCTGGGGCATATTTTTGTAGTATTGAGGATTGGTAACTAGTGTTAATACTTCCAGGCATACTCAAGAAATTCCTGCTGATTAGATCTTAAGTTTAGAAGCTGGCTGGAGAAGCTGTAATTCATGCCTGCAACACTGCCCTCAAATGGCTGTGGCAGGCCAGGCGGTGGTGG